AAAAAATGATTTTTTTTCTGATTTTCTCTTGATTTACAAAATTGAAATTTTCCTGTTTTTTGTGAATTTTTCGGGTTTTGGTTTTTTTTTTGTATAGGGAGTGTGAGAAAGTGTAACCCTTGGTTTGAACGCGTCGCTCGCATCTCTCCGCCCGCAGGCCGCCAAGGGCATCCGCAAGCTGCTGTTCGCGCTGGTCGTGTCGCTGCCCGCGCTCTTCAACATCGGCGCGCTCCTGGCGCTCATCACCTTCATCTACGCCATCATCGGCATGTCCGTGTTCGGCCACGTGAAGCAGCAGCGCGCCCTGGACGACATGGTCAACTTCCAGACGTTCGGCCGGTCGATGCAGCTGCTGTTTCGGTGAGTGGAGTGGAGTGCGCGCTGCTGAGGGCCCCTCGCGGGTAGGCAAGCCCGCGCCACACGCGTGGCACGCGGGCTTGCCTACCCAGAGATCCGCAGGCGCTCGAGCGTCACAAACTGGAACATCTCGGGGAGTCCGACGCTTGTGGCACCTTTACCCTTGTTGATATGTTTATCATGATAACTCTCACCCGATTTGATGATCTGACGATCGTCTACGATACCCTCCACGATGGTACAATTACTGTGCTCCTCCAGGCTGATGACCTCTGCCGGCTGGAACGACGTCCTGGAGTCGCTCATGATCCAGCCGCCCGACTGCGACCCCCACTTCAACCACCAGCCGAATGGGGACTGCGGGTACCCTCTGCTCGCCATCACGTACTTCACCTCGTTCATCATCATCTCGTACATGATTGTCATCAACATGTACATCGCCATCATCCTGGAGAACTTCAACCAGGCGCACCAGGAGGAGGAGATCGGCATAGTAGAGGACGACCTCGAGATGTTCTACATACGTTGGTCCAAGTAAGGAAGTTAAACTTGTACAGCCTCGATTCTCCGTGCGCTCTACTCTCGAACCTGGTTTAATTATCACATATTACTTTTTTCTCTGCTAGGTTCGACCCCCACGCCACGCAGTTCATCCGCTTCTCCCAGCTGTCCGAGTTCATCGCCAGCCTGGATCCTCCCTTAGGGATCCCCAAGCCCAACATCGTGGCGCTGGTGTCCTTCAACTTGCCCATCGCTCGCGGCAACAAGATCCACTGCCTGGACATCCTGCACGCCCTCGTCAAGCACGTGCTGGGCCACGTGGAGGAGACGGAGGACTTCCGCAAAGTGCGTCTCGACCTCAGCCTCGCTCAGCAAACAGTTTACACATCGAGAAATGTCCTACTGACGAGTGTTTTCCCTGTCCACAGCTGCAAGACCAGATGGACGTCAAGTTTAAGAAGCAGTTTCCGACACGCAAAGAGCTGGAGATCGTGTCGTCGACGCGCCTATGGAAGCGGCAGGACAAGGCGGCCCGACTCATCCAGAAGACCTTTCGGGAGTATCAGAGGTGAGTTTCAGAGGAGAAGTGCCTGCTGGAGCTTCGCACGCTGGACAGTACGAGCCAAAGGGTACTTCACTTAAAAAATAAATCAGTGTACACCCTCCAAAACAAGTCAATA